GTGTGTGTGTGTGTGTGTGTGTGTGTGTGTGTGTTGAGAGAGAGATGATGGAGCTGGATTTCTCCTATCATAAAGCTTCTGGAATCAAACTCAGGTCACCAGGCTCAGTAGCAAGCTCCATTATTCACTGAGCCATCTCCCTGGCCCCTCTCACACTATTTTTAGGCTTGCTGTTATTCATACCTAAGTTGAAATTATTTATGTATATGTGTTGCCTGTGTGTATGTCTGTGCACTACAGTAGTTCCTGGTACCTCTGGAGCCCAGAAGAGAAAGCTGGATTCCCTGGAACTGGAGTTACAGATGGTTGTGAGCTCCCATATGGTTGCTGAAAACCAAACCTGGGTCTTCTGCAAGATAATCAAGTGCTCTCAACTGCTGAACCATTTCCCCAGCTTTTCAGTTGATAAGTCTTTTAATTTTAATTTAATTTAATTTTTTCGAGATAGGGTTTCTCTGTGTCGCCTTGGCTGTCTTGGACTTGCTTTGTAGACCAGGCTGGGATAATCCTTTAAGAAGCTTTTATCATTCATGTATTCAGGTGTTTGACTACATGTATGGATAGGCATCACATGTGTGCAGTGCCCACAGAGGCCAGACCAACCTCTCTGGGACTGGAGTTACCGATAAGCTATCTTGTTGGTGTTGGGAATTGAGCCTGGGTCCTTTGAAAGAGAAGCTGGTACTCTTTTAAATACTGAGTCATCTCTCTAGTTCTAAGTCAATGATTGTTTTCTTTCCCCCTTCTTCCTTTTTTTTTTTTTTTTGGGGGGGGGGGGTGGGGGAAGGTAACAGTCCTGGCTGTCCTGGAACTCACTCTGTAGACCAGGCTGGCCTTGAACTCACAAGGATCCATCTGCTTCTGCTTCCAAATGCTGGGATTATAAAGGCGGGTGGCACCACTGGGCAGCTAATAATTTTTAATATAACAATATTTACTGACTGACTCATTAATTCACATTTTACTCTAGATAAGAACCCTTTGATGGGGTTGGAGAGATGGCTGAGAGATTAAGCGCACTGCCTGCTCTTCCAGAGGTCCTGAGTTCAATTCCCAGCAAGAGCATGGCAGCTCACAACCATCTACAATGAGATCTGATGCCCTCTTCTGGTGTGCAGGTGTACATGCATGCAGAACAGCATACACATAATAAATAAATCTTTATAAAAAACACACTCTGATGAATCACATAAGGCATAAGAGTCTTCCTGCTTTTAACATCTGAATTACTACTTGTGTGTGAATGTGGTATGGAGGTCAGAGGTTCTCTCCTTTCCCCCTCTGGCAGGTTCTGGGGATTGCGTTCTGCATCAGTCTTGTGCTGTGTGCTTCTTACCTATTAGTTATCTCACTGACTCTCTTTCAGCTTTTCATTTATCTTATATGCGTGTCTTTTGCCAAAGATAATTTACATTTTCTTTCTTTTTAAAAATCAATTTACTTCTTTTTATGTGCATGCTGTGTGCGCCACACTACATGTGTGAAGGTCACTGGACAACCTGGGAAGATGGTTCTTTCCTATCATGTGGGTCATCTCACTGGTCCAAATGCCTTTTTTTTTTTTCCTTAGTCTGGTCCTAAGTAGGACCTGCTTATGTGCGAACAAGCATTTCACACCAGCTGTCAACTGCTTGGACCTCACCCCACAGCAGATTTCCAGTGGTAGTCAGACCTTCTCACTTGCCACAGTTCAATACTTGTGAGCCACTCATGCCTTCTTTCTGGTTTCCCAAAGGCTAGATTTGGTGGCTTTGCTCCTCTTCCAGGTTAAAATAGAGGCGCTGTCTCCTAGAGATGCCTCCCTAGCCTTTGCTACACTACTGGCTCATTCAGACTTGTCTGAGCTCCTAACATCATGAAGGACTGTTTCACACCATATTAGGACATTTCTGCTCAACAGGTTGGTTCTGCCACCACTGCCTAGTTAAAAATGAAGAAATGGAGCCTGCAGAGAAGCCTCAGTAGTTAAGAGCTCTTGCTGCTCTTGTAAAGGACTGGGGTTCAGCTCTTAGCTCCAGTTGCAGGGGATCTAGTTTGTTCTTCTGGCCTTGGCAGACCCCAAGCACAAAAGTGGTTTACATACATTAAGTGCAGGCAAACACTCATACACACTTGAGAGGTAGAGGCCAGCCTCCGTTTTCTGAGACCCAGCCTCAAAAACCAAGATGAACCCAAACTGAAGAAATCAATAAATCTGTCATCACTTCAATAATATGACTTTTTTTTGTTTTGTTTTGTTGTTGCTGTTTTGAGATAGGCTCTCATGCAGTCCAATCCTCTGACCTCAGCCTTCAGAATGCGGGGATTACATGTGTGAACTGCCATAGCTTTCTCGTTTTTTTTCTTTCTTTTTCCATTGAAGACAAGGTCATTTGTTTTTAAGATTTACTTATTTTAATGTGTATGGGTGTTTTGCCTGCCTGCATGTCTGTGTGGCACAGGTGTGCAGAGTCCTCCAAGGCCAGAGAGAATACAGGAACTTCTGGAGCTGGAGTTACAGGAGGTTGTGAGCCAGTAAGTAGGTGCTGGGAATGTAACATGCCAGTATCTTAACTGAAGAGCCACCTCTCCAGTCCCCTAGTGATACACAGGCTGGTCTCAATATAGCCTAGGAGGGCCTGCAACCTTTATGTAGGAGATGACGACCTTGAATGTCTGATTTCCTTTTACTTCCACAGTGATACAGGTTTATGTGGTGCTGTGGTTGCATGTATACCAGGCAGATACTCTAAAAATTGACTTATAACCCCAGCCCAAAGAAAAATATTCTAATGCTATTATTAAAAAGAAATTAAAAGGTTTTCTATGTATAGTTGTTTTGCCTGTATTTATGTCTATAAACCATGTATGATCCTGATGCCCATGAGGGTCTGACGGCTGGAAGCCACCATGTAGGTGCTGGGAACTGAACCCAGGTCTTCTGCAAGAGACACAGTGCTCATAATTGCTGAGCCATCTTTCCGCCCCTTATTTTCTTCTTTCCTTTTTTGTTTGTTTTGTTTTTGGAGACAGGGTTTCTCTCTGTAGCTCTGGCTGTCCTAGAACTTGCTCTGTAGATCAGGCTGGTTATGAACTCAAAGAGATTCACTTGGTTCTGCCTTCTGAGTGCTGGGATTAAAGGCATGAGTCACCTGGCTTTTTTTTTTTTTATGGTATTGGAAGTGCTGGGCAAGTGCTCTAATAACATTTTTTAAAGTTTAAATCAAGAATGAATGTTTTGATTCTCTTTGGTCATGATTCTCTGTGAGGCTCCCAAGAACGCTGTAGCACTCTTTCTAGTAAAAGCTGTGTGGCTTTGGTGACAACACTCTGTGGTCCATAACTCTCCATTGTTCTTTGTAACACTTCAGACATAAGACAAAATGTTTATTTATTCACTAGAGGACTGAAGAGATTTATCCACAAGAATTTCTGAAATGGGGTCACTGTTGCTCGGTTGATCTCAGTGATTCTCCTACCCTAGCCTCCTAAGAACATCTACAGGCCATGCCCACCACACCCAGGGCACTTTGTAATGAGTATTTTTTGATGACAGTCTCAGTTTTCCGTCTGGTTATTAGTCTATGCAATTTCTTGTAGGTTTCCATGAGTTAGAACCTGTCACATACATACAAAATATTTTTCATTACAGGAACATATGGCTGTTTCCTGATGTATGGAAATGGGCTGACATGTATCTACTTACAGTAGGGTCGGTCCAGAGGGAGCACCTGGAACATTCCTGGCAAGGGGCTCCTGGAGAGCGAGGATGCTGGCAGAAATGGTCATAGCCATTGATAGGAACTCGACAGAGGTAGCACATCTGGGCGCCACATCGGCAAGACATGCGGTTGCAGCCTTCGGACTTGATGAGGCCAGCCCCACACTTGTGGCATTTTCTAATGCGAGCAGCAGTCATTTTTTCTTCACTGAGAAAAGAAAAAACAACTGGAGTTGATAGACAAGGTGAAGTACACGAAAACTACTACAGCTATCAATATTTACTTTTTTTCCACATATAATGACTGTTGAGCCTTTTGATGACACTCGAAGCACCTGTGTTTTAGAGGCTGAGAACTGGGCTCAAAGTTTATCAACTGTATTACCTTGGGTAAATTTCCCAACTGCCTGAGACTCAGTTTCCTCACTTTTAAATTGGGAAAGCATAATATTCTAAAGATATAAAGCCATTTGGCATAATGTCTGGCACTCAATGTTGAGAAAAGTGACCTCTTCATTCTAGGAATCTTACAGGCTGGTAAGAGAGAAGAAATTTAGTTTCTTCCTAAACCAAATTCATTTATGTAAAGCTGGTGCCTAAGAACTGGGAGCCCAAACCTCTACATCCTGGACCCCTGAACACTTGGCCTGAGAGTGGGCAATCTCAATGTCTGTCTACTACCTCCCTGCTGAAAGAGCATTCTTCCCGTGCAAAAGCTCACGCTCTTACAGTTCCTCCACAGTGAGACTCTTCTTGAGCCATCTGAACTGATAAGGAGGGCACACTATTTTTGCCAGGAACTTCTGGTTGTGTTGGTACGACTGCAAACCAACACCTTTCACCTTTCTCTGTCATACTGAGAGCACTGAAGAAGAGGGAATGGAGGCAGGGTCAAGACAAGCCTGCTAGTGAACCAAAGGGTGGTCAGCTACAAAGAGAGCCAGAATTGGAGTCTGGCAGGATGTTTGTGATCTACAGGTGAGTCTAGGCAGGAAGTGCTTCCAATGTACTACAGATATTTCAACAGTGATGCAGTGTGCTACTCAGATCCCAGACCATGCCCCTAAAAATAGTCAAATGCATTAGAAAACTGGCCGTTTCTTATTTAGGTTCAATGTGCTAATGGCCTGAAATGAAGAAAAGCAGAACTTTAGCTTAAAAAGAACTTATACCCAGTTCAAGTTACAGAAGAACAAACGATTTCTAAATTTTGTTAAGTAGGAGACCAAGTTTAACTAATTTTTTGAATAAGGGTCTCAAAACACCTTGGCTGGCCTGGAGCTTACCAAGTAGACCAGGTTGGCCTTAAACTCACAGAGATCCATGTCTCTGTCTCCTGTATTGGGATTAAGAGTATGTTCGGGAGATTGAAAATGACTTTATTACTACAGTCAGCTGAGGGTAGCATATTGAGTTTAGTTACTGAGCAACTGTGAAGACACATCTTAATGTTGCTTGGTAAGACTCAAGGTTCTGATGGGCATGGTGACACACACCTTTAATCCCAGGATTCAGGAGGTAGAGGGAGGAGGATATCTGAGTTAGAGATCAGCCTGGTTTACAAAGCAAGTTCCGGTACAGCCAGGGCTATACAGAAAAAGCCTGTCTTGAAAAAAACCAACACCACAATAAAAACAAAACAGAAAGGACCAGAATGGGCCTATATGAAAAAGGACTGCTACTATGAGAATGTGCCACCCAACAGAAGCGAGAAGCCATAGCTGCTTCTTTTGTTAGAGTGCTCTGGCAAGACAACAGTGAAATAGGCAGGAAAGAGTCCCGCAGGATGTACTTCCAGAAGCAGGACAGGAAGAGAAGCCCGAGTCAAGGCTGGCTGTGTCTCCCGAATTAACGTACGTTCAACAGGAAGACTCAGGGACATCCTCTGTGCAGCCAGCTGATATCCCATGATTCTGTCACTACTTGTGCTTCACTACCCAAAAATAATGGGAAGTAATCTTTGGGGGGTTTTCTTTTTTCTCTTTGTCCACATTTCCCCTCCCCTTGCCAAGAACTTACTCTGCTGTCCTGGCTGGTCTGTAACTGGCTATATAGACAAGGCTGACTTCAAAATTTAGAGACCCACTTGCCTCTTTCTCTTGAGAGCTGTGATTATAGATGTGTACCACAATAAGCCTAGTCCATTTTCTTTCTTTCTTTTCTTTTTTTCTTTTTGAGATAGGGTTTCTCTGGGTAGCTTTGGCTGCCCTGGACTTGCTTTGTAGACCAGGCTGGCCTCAAACTCACAGAGATATACCTGCCTCTGCTTCTCTGAGTGCTGGGATCATAGACAGGTGCCACTGCCTGGCTGCCAATTTCTTAAAAAAAGAAAATGCCATATACAAACATGAGGACTTCAACTGAGATTCCCAGCACCCACCAACAAGCCAAGTATGTTTGAGTTAGAGGCCAGCCTGGTCTACAGAGCGAGTTCCAAGATAGCCAAGGCTACACACACACACACACACACACACACAGTTTCAAAAACCAAACCAAACCAAACAAACCCCCACATATATGCCCACACCCACCCAAGTATGACAGTGCATGCCCTTTGGTACTGGAGAGGTAGAGACAGAAAGATCCCTGGGTTTGCTGGCCAACTAGTCTGAGTTGGTTCAGTTCCGGGTTCAATGAGAAACCCTGTCTCAAGAATATGGCCAAGCGCTGGTGAGATGGCTTAGGGGGCGGGGACGATTGCCACCAGTCCTCATGACCCTAGTCTCAGTCCTGGGACCTCCATAAGTCATGTGCAGGTACACTTTTTTTTTTTTTTTGTCTTTAAGAGACAGAGTCTCAGGGCTGGAGAGATGGCTCAAAGGTTAAGAGCACCACCTGCTGTTCCAGAGGTCCTGAGTTCAATTCCCAGCAACTACATGGTGGCTCATAACCATCTGTAATGAGATCTGGTGCTCATTTCTGGCCTGCAGGCGTACATGACAAAAAAAAAAAAAAAAAAAAGGCAGAGTCTCATCAGGCAGTAGTGGCATGTGCCTTTAAACTCAGCACTCAGCTAGGGCAACAGAGAAAACCTGTTTTGAAAAACCAGTGACAGGGTTTCATTGTGTAGTTCTGGCTGACCTAGAGTTTGCTATGTAGGTGAGGCTGACCTCTAAATAACAGAAATCCACCTGTCTCTGCCTCCTTAGAGCTGGGATTAAAGATGTGCCTATCATGCCCAGCACAAAAGTGTTTTATTTTTATTTTTACTTTTGGGTTTTTGAAATAGGGTTTTTCTGTGTAGTCCTGGCTGTCCTGTCTGCTTCTGCTTCCCAAGTGCTGGGATTAAAGGTGTGTGCTGCTACCACCACCATCACCTGGTGATTTTAAGCATTTGTATAACGCTGTCTACTGCTTTTCCTCCTTCGAATAAGCCACAGTTCCCTAGTGTCTTTGAATGCCTTGCAAATTATTGTTGAAAATGGGTATTTTTAATACTGTAAGTGGAAACTTTCTTTCTTCTTTCTTCCTCCCTCCCTCTTTCTTCCTCCCTCCCTCTTTCCTTCTTTCTTTCTTTCTTTCTTTCTTTCTTTCTTTCTTTCTTTCTTTC